CTTAGCTTACAACACACATTCACGTTTAGTTCAATTCGACAGCACTTACTGCATCTAATGATAGGCTGGGACCTGGTGGACGCAGCTGCTGCAGGGAGACGACCCGCTGTGTGGCCTTGGGAAAACCAGCTAACTGCTCTGAGCCTCATTCTCTTCTCTTTCAAACACAGATGTGATGGCAATTGTGAGATACCAATGACGGAACAGATGCGGAGGTTCTGGGCACGTGGGCATTGCTGGGTATCATCTCACACAAGCCCGGAACAGCCCCATAAGATGAGTATCTCCATTTTACAGAGGAAGAAACTGAGGCTTGGGGAGGTTGACTGAAAAGCCCAGATCACACTGAGATCAGGTGTCGGTGTCAGGATGCAAATTCCGTGTGTGTGGGTCTCAGGTCAGAAACCCCCAATCTAGCCCTGTCCGTCTCGCCATTGTTCAGCCCCTCCTGTTTCCAGGAGCCCTAATTACCTTTAGGGCTCATGTATGTATTATGTGTCTCTCACACTAGAAAGTCATCTCCCTGAGGACAGGAACTTTACTTTTTTCATTGTTTTTTTTTTTTTTTTTTTTTTTTTTTTGAGATGGAATCTCTCTCTGTCGCCCAGGCTGGAGTGCAGTGGCGCGATCTTGGCTCACTGCAAGATCCGCCTCCCGGGTTCACGCCATTCTCCTGCCTCAGCCTCCCAAGTAGCTGGGACTACAGATGCCCACCACCACGCCCGGCTAATTTTTTTTTGTATTTTTGGTAGAGACGGGGTTTCACCGTGTTAGCCAGGATAGTCTCGATCTCCTGACCTCGTGATCCTCCCGTTTCGGCCTCCCAAAGTGCTGGGATTACAGGCATGATACTTTTTTCACTGTTATATCCCCAGTGACTAGAACTGTGCCTCATCCTTGGTAGGTGCTACAGAACTATTTGCTGAATGAATGAACGGGAAAATGAAAGCGGTCCCTAGTAAAGAAACAAAGGAAGTGGCCCCGGGGCCCACGGAGATGGTGCCACCCTTCCAGGTCACATGGCTGGCAGGGCAGAGCAGGACCGGGCCAGGTCCTGAATTCCCACTCAGTCCTGCTTCTCCCAAATCCAGACGGCTCTGTTCATCAACACCCTGGTCCATGGCCACTGGAGACCACAGGAGCAAAACTGTCTGGTTCAGGAAGGGGTCAGGACGAAAGTGAAGCCTCCTGCATTCTGATCCTGGCTGGACTTCTGCCTGCTAGTCCTGTGTATGCCTCAGTTTCTCAATCTGGAACATGGGCATCTGCCTCTCCGCTGACATGGGTGGAGAAGGATTCAGAAGGAGTGTGCAGAGGTGGTCCTTCCTGCCATCCTTCCTCCCTCAGGAGGGGCCAGGCCGGCCTGAGGCACTGGGGCCAAGGCATGGCGGTGTTGTGAGAAGGCGCCTCTGCCACAGAGCCACAGGGTCAGGGATGGGAGGCACCTTGCTTTTCTGATACCATCACCGTAGAATGGACGAGAAAGCAGAGGCTCAGGGAAGGGAAGGGCCGTGGCCCAGGACATGCAGGAGTTAATGGCGGGCCCAGGCAGCACAAGAACCTGGGTCCTGCCTCCCAGTTCAGGGCTCTCCCCTCCCTGAGCAGAGAGACCAGGGACAGAATCCAACTGCTCCATCACTGTCCTGCCCAAGAGAGCCCAGGTCTACAGGCTGATATGGATGACAGGCCAGGCGGGGCCCCGGCTCTGACCCCAGCCCCGGCCTCCCAATGCTCTGAACATCAGGACGCAGGCTTGCCTTCCTAAAGCACCTGCTCTGCACAGAGACCTGAGCCATGGTGGGAGGCCTGTGAGAGTCCCGCCCCCTGGGTCCTACAGGCTGCCATCAACAGCTGGGCCCTAGGGGCACCAGGCCTGGCTATTCAGGAGCCAGATGAGGCTGATAGGAGAGGTGGAGCTGGCGGGAGCAGGTGTGGGAGCCTGGGTGTGGGCGGTGACACCACAGCGACCCTGCTATTAGATCCTGTGGTGACTCTGGGGCTGCCAACCTTCAGGGGCCTCCAAACACTGACAGCATCCTGGTACGTATCTACCCGCCCCCACCCACTCCACGGCCTCAGTAATTACCAGTTAAAGCTACTCTACCTGAGAGAGTTCTACTAGTGCAGTTAGCAGAGCAGGATAAAGAAACCCTTCTGACAGCTGGCCACGCCCACCCGCAGCCTGGGCTTCCACTAACAACGACCTGCTTGTTAATCCCGCAGCGCTGGAGGCCCCGGGTCTGCACAAAATGCCCAGAGCTGGGGTGGGAGGAAGCTGGGATTTGGAATCTACAGCCATGGATGTCATACCGGATGTGCTGTGTGGCCCTGGGCTGGCCATGTAACCTCTCTGAGCCCATGAAACAGGGCTGGCAAAAGAGTCTCACATCAATTAAATGAGGCATTGCAAGGCTGTGAAAGTTCGCCTGTAATCCCAGCACTTTGGGAGGCTGAGTTGGGAGGATTGCTTGAGTTCAGGAGTTCAAGACCAGCCTGGGCAATATAGTGAGACTCCCCATCTCTACAAGAAATATTTTAAAATTATCTGGGTGTGGTGGTGTGCAACTGTAGCCCTAGCTACTGGGGAGGCTGAAGGAGGAGGACTGCTTGAGCCCAGGAATTAGAGGCCACAGTGAGCTATAATCGCACCACTACACTCCAGCCTGGGGAATGGAGTGAGACCCTGTCTCTTTTTTTTTTTTTTTTTTTTTGGAGACGGAGTCTGTCTCTGTGGCCCAGGCTGGAGTGCAGTGGCCGGATCTCAGTTCACTGCAAGCTCCGCCCCCGGGTTCCCGCCATTCTCCTGCCTCAGCCTCCCGAGTAGCTGGGACTACAGGCGCCCGCCACCTCGCCCGGCTAGTTTTTTGTATTTTTTTAGTAGAGACGGGGTTTCACCGTGTTAGCCAGGATGGTCTCGATCTCCTGACCTCGTGATCCGCCCGTCTCGGCCTCCCAAAGTGCTGGGATTACAGGCTTGAGCCACCGCGCCCGGCCGAGACCCTGCCTCTTAAAAAACAAAACAAAACAAAACAAAACAAAAGAAAGAAAGAAAAAAAGAAAAATTTCACATGCTACTTTTCATTTTAAAAATAAGTACAAACATCTTTGATGGGTTTTTAGAGTTCATTTCTGGGTTTCAGGTGTACAAGACATGTGGAGATGTTCCTGTCACCTCCACACTAAGGCTGGGCTACAGCTGGAAGGCTAAAAATGGCCAGGTCCAGGTTCACCCTGAGGGGAGTGGCACAGGCTTTCCATTCCTGTCCCTCTACCAATCACACAACAACCCTGAGGACAGATCACCAGGCACCTCATTTTACAAGGAGCAACCAAGGCTGAGAGGGTGAGGAACTTCCCTAAGGTCACACAGAGGGGTAGGCCCTGCCCAATTCCCAGCAACAGCCCCACCAGGCTGGGCATGTCCTGACCCAAGGGATGCCAGGGGAGGTAGGACATGGGCTGGGTGGTGACTCATTCTGATGGTCGACTCCCCCGGGGACATTCTTGGACGACTCCATCCACAACTCTTCTTGGTCCTGAGCCCAGTGTCAGCCTGTCCTGATGACAGAGGCCCAGTCCCAGCTTTACGATGGTCTCCTCTGTCCCACGTCCCCACCCTGTCCTCTAACTAGGAAGGCAGCATCCAGATCCCACCGGCTGGAGTCCTGTGCCTGGCACTGGGCGCTCACCGACGGTGAACGGCTGTCTCCTGCTGCTCACCTCCACCACCAGCTCTTGGGTTTCAGGGAGCAGAGGCTTGGCCATGCCCTCTTCTGCCCTAGTGTAGGAAGCAAATGGCTGACGGCCCCACAAAACCTGCTGCAGCTCAGTCCCCTGTGTTCTTCAGCCCAGACTCCTCAGAAAGCTCTCTGCACCCTGAAAGCCTGACCTGACAACAGAAATGTCATCTCATTGAGCACGGGATGGACAGTCAGGCTTTCTGGCTGTCCTGGCTCAGCAGCTTCGAGGCTGCACTGTCCTAGGCATGGCGCTGGGAGATGGGGATGAAAACAGTGGCTGTTACCAGGGTTGTGGTGAGGATGAAGAATTAATGATGTTGTCTGTGGAGGGAGGCTGGCGGCCAGGGCAGGTTCCCTCTCCCTCCTCTCAGCCCCACAGCTCCCCTACTTTGGGCTGAGCTGTGGTCCTTGGCCCCCAGACCCTGGCCTGTCACTAGCCACAGACAGGAGGCAAAGCAGATGGGGGACCCGACCAACAGTAACTACACGACCATAGACCAAAGAGTTTAGTACTGGAAAAAAAATCTCTGAGATCTTAAGGAATAAATCGCTCCAGGGTGTGACAAGATGTTTGCAGACAGGAAAAGCCAGGCTTTGCCTGGGAGAACAAAGTGGGTCCAGCTGCCCACTGGGCCATTCCACAGGCCTGGACACTCACCCTATACCAGATCTCATCCGAGGTGTTGGGCCCAGGGTGACAAGGCCACAGTCTCTGCCCCACTGAACCGAGCCTGCTCCTTCCCCAGCCGCTCCCCTGACAGCCGCACCTCACCCAGGCTCCGCACAGGGAAGAGCCTGCTGGGGACTCAGGGCACACGAGTTAGCTCTGGTCACTCTGATGATGTGACCACAGGTTTCCACTCTGAACTTTGTCCCTCTCCTCAGCACTGCCTTTATCACAGTGACAGCATCCCGGCCTCTGTTTACTCACCTGTCTCCCCAGGACCAGGCTCTCTGCCTGGGGCAGCCCAGGTGGGCAAGGACATCACCTGATTCTTACTCCTGGGTGTGTTTGGGGCAGGGTGAAGGCAGCGCCTGGGAGTCCACAGTTCCCCCCACCCTGGTCCTGACCACCCCGCAGCCCAGGGGGCCCCATGACCCTTAGACTTTCCCTAATCACAGCGGTCCCATCCCCCTGTGGTTCGGGTCCACCGTCTGTGACACCCCGTTCGGCCAGGGCCCGGCACCGCCCGCGGATGCGCGCACTCTCCCCTGCAGCCAGTTTACTCCGAGGGTCCCCGCGCGGGCGGCCGCACTCACCCATGTTGACGAAGCTCATGATCAGGTCGGCGCGGCCCAGGCGCCGCTCCGCGGGCGCGCCGTCCTTGTCGTCGTCGCCGGCCATGGCGTGGTACAGGTCCAGCATGAAGAGCGGCGCGGACGCGGGCAGCCGGGAGGCGGCGGGTGGCGCGCGGAGCCGGGGCCGCCCGGGTAGCCCGAGCACCGCCAGGATCTCGCGCTGCACGTCCCGGCGCTCGCGCGCGCCCAGACGTCGCTGGGAACAGCCGGGCTGGGGTCGCAGGCCGGGGCCGCCCCCGCCCAGCGCGCACAACGCCAGGCCCAGGAGCCAGAGCGGGCCGGGAAGCGCGGTCATGGCGGGCCAGGGACGCTCAGCTGGCGCGCATCGGCTCCGCGGCCGCCCCTGGGCCCGGGGACGCCCCGACGGCGAGCGGGGGGCCGGCCTCGGCGGGCGGCGTACGCGGCCTCAGCGCGGTCCCTGGAGCGCCCCTCGGGCGGCACCTGCCCCGGCTCCGGGACAAGCGGACGCCGACGCCACCGCCTCGAGGCCGGGGCTCCTCTGAGGACTGGGACTGTCAGCCAACCCGTCTGTCTCCGCCGTGCCCACCAGTCCGGCTGTGGCTGCGGTCGGCACAGCGCAGGGTCGACGGGCGAGCTCCAGCAGCGACCCGAGCGGCGCGATTCCCGCGAGTCCCAGCCCCGGCGCAGCCGTCGGTGGTGCCCGCCTACCCCCGGGACTGACCAATGGGGGCGCGGGGGCGGGGCCGGGGCGCGGAGGCCACGCCCGCGAGGGTCCTGGGGCGGCAGCCGGTGTCGCGGGTGGGGCGACCCGGAGGTGCGAACTCGGGGTGGCTGGCAGGTGGTCCGGGCGAGGGGTCTGCAGCCTGGGCGTCAGCGTGGTCATGGCCGTAGTGGCTCCCGCCGCGGGCCTAGGCGCACAGATCCTAAGGCTGCGGCGCCGTCCCAGTCTCGCCAGTGGTGCCACCCGGCCGCCCTGCCGTGGTGTGCGGGGGTCGTCACCGGGCCCGACACGCGGCCGCAGCCCCATCTGGAGAGCCGGGCGGTGCCAGCCAAGCCCCGGGGGTGGGGCATGTTCCTCTGCCCGCAGTAGCCGACCCGGGTTCCGGCCACCGCGGCCCCTCTCCGCCTCCTGGCGCTTTCCCCGTGGCCCCTGCATGCGCTTCTGCGGACGCCTCCTTCCCAGCACCTGCTCGGCTGCTTCTCCATGCGTCCCCCACCTGGCTCCTGCGTGAGCCCGGCCAGGGTCCCAGGCGGGCCGCCCCCGCCAGCCCTCGCAGCGCGCCCTGCGTCCCCGGTACTGATACAGCTGTGCAGAGGAGACTCCGCTTCCTGCCTCCATCTGGGCCAGAGGCTCTGGGGCCCCTTCCGAACACTCGGGAGCCACCTGTGCACGTCTTCTTAGTCGCCACAGCCCCGGTGCAGGCCTGGTAGGAGAAGGATCCCCGCGGAAACGTCTCGACTGACTCAGTCTCTTTCTGCACACCCTGCTCTTCCCTGGGCACGCTCTCGCCTTACATAATTATTCCTGTGTGGTTCAGGCGCTGCGGAAGAAGGCACCTAGACTGCGCTGGGAAAGGTCAGTGGAGGAAAGTGCTTCAGGCAGACGGAATAGCTTGTGCCAAGGCCCTGAGACCCCGGGGGGGAGCCTAATAATGGTAACAGTCAGCACTTTCCACGCGCGAGGCATGTTCTGAGTGTGTGTCCTGTGTCATTTCTGTGATGCTCGCACATCGTTAGGGGGTACATACCACTGGAACCTCCTCTTTTAACAAATGAGGAAACTGAGGCACACAGCAGTTAAGGGACTTACGCCATGTCACACAGCAGTGGAGTTGGGCTTGGGCAGGGGGGCAGTGGAACCTGGAGAGCCCAGGGGGCAAATGGCCAAGGCTGGAGGGGCTGGCAAGGGAGGAACCGCAAAGGGCCTCACAGGAGCTAGACGAGGGCCCTGGGCACCAGAGATTATGGTGCCCCCCCCATGTGGATTGAAGATTAAACCTTGAAGCAAGTGTATAATGCCCTCAAAATCACGTTTTGAAGTCATCACCTCAATAAAATTTTCTACATCAAATTAGTAATCTAGTCATTTGCTGGTGGCTTAAACACATGCCTAGTTTGTCTTTAACCCAACAGGTATATTTCCACACTGCCCGTAAATTTTCTGCGCGGTCCCCAGAGCGCCCCCCATGAGGCACCTGCACCGGCTCCAGGCAGAGCAGACGTGGATGTCACCGCCTAGAGGCTGGGGCTTCTCTGCAGACTGGGACTGTCCCATAAGGATACTGAGCTAAGGATAATGCAGAATAACCGTTGAAAGTACCCAAGACCAGAGCATGGAAGCAGAGCGGAATATGGATCAGAGGGAGACAGGAGTCAGGGCCCTGCAGTTGGAGGCAGGTAGAGTAATCAAATGTGGGAGTGGGTACAATGACAATGAGCCTGTAATGGTGATGGGGTGGAGGGGCAGAGAAAGCTGTTTAGGAGGCTGAATCCACAAGGCTTTGTCCCCATGTCATCTTGGTCAGAGTCTTGGAATCTCCTGCCCACGCCCCCTTCACTGTCCTCTCTGCATGCCCCTTTTGAATCCACTGCGCATCAGTTGAGGCCCTAGATCCAGCCTGTGCAATTCTCAGGTTTGTTTTGTGCAATTCTGGGCTCCCAGCTAGACTGCAAGCTGCCCAGTGCTGGGCTGATTCTTATAACAGAAATCATTTCTCAATTTACGATGTGGAGATAGAGCTGTGTTTTCTAAACAACGGGCTTCACATTCCCATATACCTAAACAGCAGATTTTAGCCATTCCAAGGGCCTCTGCCCACAATTCAGTTCAGCAACAACCACCGTGAGCTGCTCTGTGCTGTGCCCTGAGCCAGAGATGGAGCGGACAAGCCCCTGCCCCTGAGCAGCCCCCACAGCAACAGGGGTGACAGCTGGTGAACACGGCAATTTCCCAAGGCAGATTGAAAGCTGTGCTCCCACAGAGGAGCCAACAAAGTGGCTGGAAGGGCAGAGGAGCAGGGAAGTGAAGTGGGAGCAGACCATGTGGGAGTGGAATCCCAGAATACTAGGACTGGAAAGGAACTGAGGTGGGGTAGCTTTCTTGGAGAAAGTAGTGTCAAAACAAGGGCTTTCCCTAGCCACCTGGCAACTCTGTGATCTTAACCTCTCAGGCTCAGTGTCTCATCAAGAAAAGGGGCCTAATGATCATAGATTCAGTGAGAATGTATATAGAGCACTTAGCATAACCACTGGCTTACAGTAAGCACTCAAAAAACGTGAGCTAGTTATTGCATCATTCAAGTCCCCAGCAGACACCAAATTTGCCTTCCTCATTTACCATTTCTATCACAGGACTGTGATTTTACATATATATATATATATATATATATATATATATATATATATATATAATTTTTTTTTTTTTTTGAGACGGAGTTTCACTCTTGTCACCCAGGCTGGAGTGTAGTGGCACAATTTTGGCTCACTGCAACCTCTGCCTCCCAGATTCAAGCAATTGTCCTGCCTCAGCCCCCCAAGTAGCTGGGATTACAGGTGCCCACCACCACACCTGGCTAATTTTTGTATTTTTAGTAGAGATGGGGTTTCACCACCTTGACCAGGCTGGTCACCTGACCTCAGGTGATCCACCCGCCTCAGCCTCCCAAAGTGCTGGGATTACAGGTGTGAGCCACCACACCCGGCCCAGAACTGTGATTATACTTTAACCCTTTTCCTAGCATCTAGTTATTTCCTACATGTTCTTGTGTGCAGGCATTTGTTGAATGGAAACGCACCTTTAGCCAGGCATGGTGGAGCACGCCTGTAACTCCAGCTACTCAGGAGGCTGAGGCAGGAGAATCGTTTGAGCTTGGGAGGTGGAGGTTGCGGTCGACCGAGACTGTGCCACTGCACTCCAGTGGGCAACAGAGTGAGTCCCTATCTCAAAAAAAAAAAAAAAAAGAAAAAAAAAATGCACTTTTTGTTGGTGCCACTGCCAGGTGAACTTTGCCAGAAAACCTTAATTACTTGTTAAGATTCTGTACCATAGTCCAGAATCTAGGAAGATGGAGGTCAAGCTGGTCTCGCATGCTTCTACTGCCAAGAGGCCTAAAAGGGGAAGCAAATTAGAGTGAAAACACTATCCTATACAAAGTCCCGGCAGCTTGAAGTTCCTCAGTTCTATGGAGAACAGAGTAAGCACTTCCTTCAGAATCCATTAGGCTCCAAATTCCTTTTAATCAGGATATTTGGCCTTCACAGCTTTGGCAAACATGCATCGACCTCACCAAATGCCTATGTCATAAGGAATGCGGCCTGATGACCAAGAACACAGGTGGCATGAGTTTCAGCCCCTTTACCTCTAAAGCCTCTAGCCCTTTTCTTCTTGTTACTAAGTTAGCATTTGGCTGCTCTATTATAAAGCCAACTGTCTAGAGGCTGGAGGAAACAGAAGTGCCAGACTTGAATAGGGAGTGGAGAACTTCAAGGTTCACTTCTGTCATTTATTCATTTCGTGAGCTCAGGGAAATCACTTTCTCTTCTACTTTCCCATCTCAGTTTCTCCATCTGTAAAACAAAGGAGCTAGATATGATGACCAATTTTGCTTCCACCTCTGAAATTCTACCACTTAACCAGAAATTTCAGCATACTGTGACATAGTATGAAAAATTGGCCCCATTCTCTCAGAACCCAGGATCTCCAAGATTTCTAATATCTTTTTACATAATGCTATTTGTTTAATGATGTAAGTAGGACAGATATCCTACATGTTCATGTTAATATCCTGTTTTTTTTTTTTTTTTGAGACAGGGTCTTGCTGTGTCACCCAGGCTGGAGAGCAGTGGTGCAATCATGGCTTACGTGATCCTCCCACCTTAACCTCCCTAGTAGTTGGGGCTACAGGCATGTGCCACCATGCCTAATTGTTTTTTTAGTTTTAGTAGATACAAGGTCTTACTATGTTTCCCAGCCTGGTCTCAAATTCTGAACTCAAGTGATCCTCCTGCCTTGGCGCCCCATAGTGCTGGGATTATGGGCGTGAGCCACCATGCCCAGCCATATTAAACAAAATTAACAAGGATGAAAGAAAACAAAATCTATTAAGCTCTACAATTTATCTGTCAAGATATTTTGATTTGTATAATGCATTTAAGTACCTATAACATGATTATACTCCAGGGTAACATTTATAGATAACGTAGTGCTTGAAAAGAAAATCAGGAAATACAAAATATTTGTTACTGCAAGCAATTTTAATACAAAAGTGTGTCTTGTTTTTAAACAGTTCATTGGTAGAGCTTCAGTTTCTGCCTCAATTAAAACCAATTGAGATAATCACACAGCAACATGGTCGGAGCTGA